CTTGCGGGGAGCCCAGACGCCCTTGTAGGCGGGGTTGTCGATGTAAGGCGCGGTCCACTTGCCCTTGTAGTCAGGGTTCTTCTTCATGGGCTTGGTCCAGGGGCCACAGCCAGAAGCCTCAGTGCACTTGGGGTTGGGAACGGTAGGGGCGACCCAGTCACCATCCTCCTCATCGTCCCAGTCCTCGGGCTTCTGGGCCTCAGGGTCAGGGATGGTCTGAGCCTCATCTTCGAGCCAGTCCTCGGGCTTGGTGGCCTCCTCGTCGACAATCTCGTAGGGGGCATCCTCATCCCAGTCCTCGGGCTTCTTGGCCTCGGGGTCGGCGATACGGGCCTCATCGACCCAGTCCTCAGGCTTGGAGTCCTTGGCGTCGTCAATCTCCTTCTCAGGGTTGACGGAGGGGGAGAAGTCCTCAAGAAGGGAGCCGGTCTTGACCTGCTCTCCGTTCTGCTGGATGATGAAAGTGTTGTTGGGGTGGACAATGAGAGTGTAGAGCTCGGTGGTCTTGACAATGCGAGCGGTGGGGGGAGAGGTAAGGTGCTTCTCCTCGTAGTCACCAGTCTTGGGGTTCTTGTGGTTGAAGATAAAGTGAACCTTGTTGGTGTGGCCGCACTTATCGGGACCGAACATGATCACATAGGGAGTGGCGTTCGAGAACTCCTCGGAGTGAAGAGCCTTGTTCTCACGGAGAAGCTTGAGGTAAGCGCCACCGCACTCAAGACCGTCTGAGAAGGAACCATTGTTAGCACTCTGTTGTGAGATTGTAGTGTGGGGCAGTGACGAGAAACTTACTCTGGAGCTTGACTTCATACTGAACAACGAGGGTCTTGCCCTTGTTGTCAATCTTCTTAGGGAACTTGGCCGAGATGGCGTGGTGAGCGGCAGGGTTCTTGACAACAAGACCCTTGTCGCCCTCCATGCCCTTGTAGACGGTAGGCTCCTCAACGGACCACTCGCCAACGTAGGCCCATTCCTCGTCATCCTTGGAGTCCTTCTTGGCGTGAGAAGGACTCCAGCGGCTCTCCCAATCGTCGGTGAACTGCTCCAAGAAAGGGGCCTTCAGGGTAGTAGGCTATAGAATAAAAAAAAGCCGTTGTCAGATAATTGCTTATTTCATGGCGGGTAGAGAGCAGGTGCGGGGAAGATCCAAGGACTGCCCCCAGCCCGTTCCCATTGCGCATTGAGCTCATGAGATTGCAGCGAATGATGAGGGGGAGGAGGCTTCACTCGGAGCAACAAAGAGAGCCATTAGCGAGGAGAAGGGGGGAGCTTACCGTGAAGGTGGACAGCTGGGGAGTGACCGAGGTCGAGGACTCAGCGGCAGTGGAGGTCTTATCCTCACTGAGGACCTTCTGAGCATCGTCGGCGTAGGCGCCAGCGAACAATGCCGCGGCGGACAACGCAGCAGCGTTGAACTTCATGATGGGCGAGAATGTGTGGTATCGGTGTCTCGGCTTCAATCGGGTTCAGGTAGATGAGGGGGGAGGTAAGTAGCGTTAAAGCTGTAGGGTTGTAAAGGAAAGATTGTCAATTGAATGACAAAAGGGTAGAAAGGGCTCCCGGTCGCGGTGGATGGAGAGGATTGGTATTTTCGAGGAGGAAATTCCCAAGGAGAGGGAAAAGAGTTTCGGAAGGAGGAATGGGGCGAGGAAGACGACGGATTTATCAGTCCGTGAGGCAGGCACGCGCAAGCGGGTTGTGCTCAACGTGTCCTTTTTTTGCGGTAAAGGTCCCCAGCAAAACCTCAGCGACCCAAAGCAGAGAGCACCCGAAAAAAGGCCAGGTAGGGGAGAGCTCACTAAGGTGTGGCCCGTCGGGGTAAGGTTCGGCAAGGCAGAGGTTCTGAGCCAATCAAATTCCAAGAAAATTGGAGAATTTTCGGGGGGACCAGCAGCGAGAGCAGTTGCCGTAGCATGCAATCCGCTACCTAGCTTCAGGGGTCGTCGGGGTAGCACGCCGCTGCCCATCGCAGCCCGGTGTAGCCAATGCAAAGCCGCTGCGGTACCTTTTTCAGTGGGCTGCTTCTGCTGACAATGACATGCGGGCTGCGGACTGTGGCTCGGTGAGGTGAGGAAAGTGCGGGGGCCCTTGGCGACGGAACGGGATCCACTGGTTCTAACAGCGAAGGGAAGGAGGGGGATATTCATGGTGCTTCGACGAGCTTCCAAAGTCTCAATTGCTGATCCTGGTTGATGGACTGAGCTCTTCAGCCCTTGACTGGGTTGCCATCCTCTTCTTTTGTATGTACACCCGTTGGCGGAAGATGGAGAGAGACTGGTGTATCGCTCTCAGGAGCATGCACTCTGCGATGCATCGCGATTCAATCGAGGCTAGTATCTCAGGTTGGCGGCTGATCCCGAAATGTCTTGAGATGGACCGTAGGTATCAGTGCCGCGACGTTGGAGCTGCCATTGTCATTCACTGCTTTACTAATATTACACACAGTTGACCAGGATAGTAATATGGGCGCGCATTGAGCAGACAAGACTGCGAAAATGCACAGATATGCCTCGGTCCAAGCCAACGCCTGATTGACACTGGCAAGACACGATCCCGGCTGGGTTTCACCGGCTCGATTGATCGAAAAAATGACCATTTTGGGCAGGCGTGTTTGTGGATTTAATGACAGGAGTCAGGCTGCTAATTTGTCCTAATATCTCACGAAAGCTTCCTCCTGAATAAGGGCGTTAAGGTGGGCGCTCCCCACTCGACGGGATAAATAGAAACATGGGCGTTCGACCGTCGTCGAAAAAAGGCTAGGTGTCCTCTTTTTTGTCGCATCACCTGCAGGACGCCTAATCAGCCTCAACCAGCGACCGGACTAGCTGCCGATTCTTCACCAGTCTGTCTCATCATCTTCTCTAGCACCTCCTGCTGGTATCCGTCCTTTGCCAATCCGTGAACCCGTGCCGTACAGCGAGACTTCGTACTCCGCTGTCGCATTTACCAGCTATGACCTAGAGCGTGGAAGCGCTCATTTGTAATTGGAGCTCCCGATGGACCCGAGTTGAGAGAGACCTGCGAGATGGGCACGGATTGACCAATCGCAAGAGCCTCTGTCGCTGTCTCGTAAATCGCAACTCTTTGGCGTGGTGGAGGAGGAGCGTTCCGTGCCTTTGCGTGCTTGCCATGTGGGGAAGTCGACAATTGCCACTGGCTCAACTCTCCTCTCACCTCGCTCAGCCTCATGCTCGTGTGGCTGGTGAGAAAATTTCCCGACTCTTGTGACTGGGAGAACTTGGTTTTACAGAGTAAATATATTGCAATCGTGAGCTCAACTTTTCCTGGATACACATTAAACAGGTTTGTGCCCTCAAACTAGGATATCCGTATTCTTCATTGCCATCTACGAGTTCTCGCGGGAGCCGAATCGAGGATTAACACAAGTCTCAGAACTCGATACCCCCCGTTCGCTACCCAAATTACCCCGCGAGACTCATCTCAGAAGACAGCCCACCATGGCGTCCACAGCTGAGATTGAAAACCCCGACCTGCTCGTCACCTCAAACGACCCGGACCACCCCGCGAATCTCATTCCTTCGCTGTGCGCAAAGTTCTGGACACTAGGCTGGGTCACCGGCACCGGTGGTGGCTGCTCCATTCGAGATGAGTAAGTCTATACATCTCATAGTCGTACTTCTAAAAAGGCGATATTTGTCCAGCACGAACGTCGCTAGGTATCTCATATAATGACCACAATTTGCTTCCTGCTTTCCATATACGAAGAAGACAAACATCGCATCATAACCCTCGCTGAAAACTTCACCTCACACATGGTGAACATACACACGAAGAGAAACAAAACACATAAATCATGACTCTCACTTACACCCTCTCAGCGACCTCGTCTACCTCGCCCCCTCAGGCGTCCAAAAAGAACTCATGAAGCCCCAGGACATCTACGTCCTCTCCCTCGCCGCCCAAGAAGCATCCCTCAAGAACCGCGTCTACCTCCGCTCCCCGCCCTCCTACAAGCCCTCCCAGTGCACCCCTCTCTTCCTCGCCGCCTTCACCCGCCGCGGCGCCGGCTGCTGCATCCACACGCACTCCCACTGGGCCGTTCTCGTCACCCTCATCCTCGAGGGCCAGGCCCGCGCAGGCGGTAACGACAAGCTGTTCGAGATCAACAACATCGAACAGATCAAGGGCTTCGGAAAGGGGTTCCAGAAGCAGGGCAACCTCGGGTACCACGACACCCTCAGGATCCCCGTCATCGAGAACACGGCCCACGAGGAGGACCTGACCGAGTTCCTCGAGGAGGCCATGGACAAGTACCCCGACACCTACGCCGTGCTGGTGCGGAGGCACGGCGTCTACGTCTGGGGCGACAACGTCCACAAGGCCAAGACGCAGTGTGAGAGGTGAGTTTGAGTCTCCCCTCTGGGAGAATGAGATTATCGTGTCTCTCTCCCCGTTGCAGAAAACCGGGACGGAAACCTGCTCTTCCATCTTGGAAACATTCCTCCTCTTCCCTCATCCCTTGTTCCTGATTTTTCCTCATACCGATTGTTTGTCTCGCAAAGAAATAGCGTGGAAATATGCTAACAGGATGTTGCGTAGCTTGGATTATCTCTTTCAATTGGCCGTCGAGATGAAACAGTTGGGCATCCCCTGGATCAGCGAAATTCCAGTGACTGTTCCTACCCGGTCCTGAAAGAAGATTACGAAGTAGAAGTCGAAGAAATCGATCTAATGACGAGGGTCTTGTGACGTCCCTGCAATGAACATTGTGATAGGGGTCACTTACGGATGACTTCCGTTTGAAACCAAACCGCCACCCGCCAAAACGCAAATCGCATTGCGAACCAAGCAAGATGCCGTTGCAAGGAGCCATCGCCTCAGTATCCCTCGTCTCTTTAAACATGCGCCCGACCCAACATCACTTGTCACAGAGAAAGATGACCCCCTTCAGGCGCACACGAAGTATGAGGAAGACATTGTGTTATTGAAGTTTGGCAGACGTTGGTGTCCGCTAGTAACATTAACACATATCCTTGTAATCTGCCTATTAAATCATTGACCACATATATAGCAATCGTCTCCCAAATGGTATATACCCCTCTCCGTGAATCCATACATTCATCCCACTCATCCTCTCATCCACCTTTTGTGTTCATCCTCCGAATGGCAAAGGTATTTAGATCAGGAGAGCGGCGCCGATAAGACCGACAACACCGAATGACGCAGAGCCGACCAGGGCGGGGGCAGCGGCGTTGGCGGTAGAGGATGAGCTGGATGCAGCCTCGGTGCCAGAGGCAGCAGATGAGCCGGAAGCGCGGGTGGCAGTGCCAGAGGCAGAGCCCGTGGCAGCGGAACCGGTAGCAGTGGCAGCAGTCGCGCTACCGCTTGAGCCAGAGCCAGAGCCAGATCCAGCGGTGGCAGCGGGAGTAGCGCCGCTGCTCCAGTAGTTCGCAGCGATACAATTCTGCGTACAAGTAGCGTATCTTTCGGTAGCTGCCGCGCTCCCGTCACCCTGATCACACTTGGCGACGCAGGCGGTGGTCTTGTTGACCTGGTCCTCGTTGGGGTTGGGGACCTGTGAGCACCATGTGTTAGTCTTTTCGTGAAATTTCATCGGGATGGCGCCAAATTTGGGTTCCCCAACGTACAGAGATACACTTGGCCTGGCAGTTGACGTCGGTGGCCGGGCAGCCAGACAGGCACTTCTCGATGACAGCCTGAGCGGAGGAGGCAGCGGAAGCGGAGGTGGTGGTGGTAGACTGGGCGGCGGCCAGAACGGCGAAAGCGCCGGTGACGATGATGGAGGTGAAACGCATCTTGACTGGTGGTGTTTGGTTTGTGGTGTTACACGGGTGTATTAAGAATGGTGTAAGTTGTTGATATCCGAACAAGAACAGCGAATGTAAGCGTTTTGAAACAGGTGATCGAGCAACGAGTGTATGGCAGAGGCTAGAGAGGGAGGGAGGAAAGGAAGGGAGACCAGGAACAGAGTGGATGGACTGGAGGTGGGTTTAATAGTGCGCAGTGTTCCGAGCAAAAATCCATCTCTGGATCCAATGTCGACCTTTTCCCGCTCGGGGTGACAAGCCAAGGCGCGCCCCCAGGTGCCATGCTATGATTAGCCTTGGTAGTGTGGCCTCTTCCCTGCGCTGCCCACCCACCCCCTTCACCTCTTCAGCTGCAAAGTTGTGTGGCCCATCGATGTTCTTCGTGTGTCGATGGGCCGGGAACACGCTTGTGTCTGCACGCAACTTGCAAGGGCGGATTCTGGGGTGGGTAGACAGGGTGTGGGTTCAACGAGGACCTGGAAAGTTTTACTGCGTACACTAGGTATTAGCAAGAGACGACGACCAAGAGAGCAGAGTAAGTACTAGGTACGGAGCAGCACGACGTACTAGAAGCCAAGACGGCCAACAAGACCTGATTCTCCTTCGGGTTGAGCTTGTGACTTGTGACTCGACTCATAGCCGGTTGCCCCCGTCCCTTGTTGTTGATGTGGGCGGAAGGACTCAAAAGCCAAACACAAGCGAAAAAAGGGGAGCCCAAAGCAAGGTTGGATGGAGGTTGACGATCGAATTGGATCGCGCCGCGTCTGGGGAAAGATTGGGACCTGCGCCATGGACGGAGGTCAGGACGTGACCTAAGGCAGGTACGTACCACATATAGCCTTAAGGTTAGGCACTTTGAGCCTTTTCGAAGTAAGGCAAGAACTTACGGATACACTAGGAAGGAGGCACGGAGGAGAGAGCCCACTTCCTTCTTCCCTCCCGTCGCCGCTTCGAAAGCGAAAGCAAGAGCGAGAAAATACTCCCGGTCCAAAAAACGAGGTGCAGCACTTGCAGACCAACCATGCCTGCCAAAGTGGGCCCGGACCAACTGTTTAATCCCAATTTTAAAATTGCACTTTGACTTTTTGCTCTCTCCCTCTGCCAGGATTGCCAGGGCCTCTTCGAATCTCCTCTCATTGTTTGCAACGGCGAGCCAATTGTCACCTGTCTCGTCCCTTGCAATGTCTCCATCCAACAGGACTTGCCGGGTCCAAGGCCAGCGAGGTATTACATCAGTGTGGAGGGCCGTTGGTCTGGTGGTCTGTTCGTATTCCCCTCTGCGTTTTGTCGAGGCCCTCGATCGAACCTCGCCACAACATTAGCCTCCGTCCACCACCACCACGCGAATACAAGGTCTCATTTGACACATTGAATTTGGTATTTGAGGCATTGACGCCTCAATTTGAACGCTGTGCCCATACAGCACGCTATCGATGCAACCACGGCAATGTAGCTGCAGAGGCTTACTTGTGCCTGTGTGGTCTTAGAGAAGAAAACCGTTCAGACGATGTTGACAGCCAAGGACAGGGGAAACATTAGCAGAAGAAAATAAAACAACAGACGATTTTCACGGACGAATGCTCAACAACCAGCGTGACACGACCCTGGCGCGTCTCCTCGAGTAATGCAGGGTTTCCTGGCAAATGGCACCGTGCCATTGGCCGAGGGCACATGCCCTTGTCTCAGGGGCCAGACGACCAGCGCTGTCGACCTGTCGACCGGACAAAGCGCTGGAGCGCCACACTCTATACCACTGCGCAAGCGCTCCATCGGGTACCTGAGAAAGCTGAGATGCGTTGCCGACTAGCACCTGAACAGCCATTCCAAGGACCCAAGGTGAGCACTAGATGAGACGGAACGTCGGAACCTGAGCGAGTCTCAACCTGCCGCCAAGTTTTCTCTTCGACGGTGGGACGGCCAACTGTGGTGAAAAGGTGAGTAGTCAACAGCATTTGGCACTTTGCTCATCCGTCGGCCTGGAGCGACACCGGTGACGGGTCATGAAGATCCATCAGTCCACTGAGAATCCTCCCCCCTGCGACCTAGATTCGTTTCGAAGCACGTCCTAGTGACGGCTCTTTACAGGACGGGACGGATATCCGTCCAAACGAGCTCATGTTCGTCCGGCTTCATTTAGGTCTAATCTATTCTCGACCGACAGCCGATCATCGTCATATGCCGTTACCCGTCAGGCCAACCACTTACACGGGCTTGTGAGGGCTGATAGGGATACACACACTATACACTCCCAGAAACCCAAGTGCCGTTGCCAGCTGCAGTGAGATTGAGAATAAGACCAACGATCCCAGAAATACATTTCGCCTCATTGTATTTCGTATGAAGCGGATTCTGCATGAATACGAGATGCCCAGCAACCACATCGCTCAATGAACGATCTTTGATCTACATCCCACAGACAGTGCCACACGACACCTCCCAACACACCAATACCGTGCCGTAGAGCCGTTGGACTTGCGTTACGGGTCATGGCCCGCCCAGAGGATGCGCCGTCAAGCCTCCGCCTGGGGCGATGCACCACTTCAGTTCTTCTGACTCCCGTTTGCAGTAGGCAGTCGGAGAATTTGGCAACGAATAAGACATCGCTACACCATTTGTCGTCTTGGATCGTGGGCAGTCTGCTACGGGTTGTCTCGTATTTCTGGACCCTCGAGTGGCTACTACAACATCGGCCTACGAATTTTCGATAGCAATATGTTGGTCATGAGTCTCACCAAACCAAGTCCCACGGGATGTCCGACTTTGCTCCCTGTTGCTCAATCCCAGAGAACGGAAATTTCACAACGTCATGCCGTCCTCCCCCGTCCGAACACTAGACCACTCCGGCCCTTCTATGCTCCTCCCTGGCGCCCAAGTTCAATGCACTGGGGAACGTGGCAGAGAAAAGGCATATCCCTGCCTCGCGATCGCAGCATATCATTGGCTGCTTACTCGCCCGGCTTTCCATGTCACTTCTCCTTTCTAGAAGTTAGAACGGCGCTTCTTGAAATAAGCTCTAAAGGGTGCTTCTTGGGACGATTTTTGGAGCCGGGGTAAATCTTCGAAATGCGCCAGTATGCAGAAATCATAATGACTAAATTCCTCATCGCGGCCTGGCCGTTACGATGGAATGCCACATACATGATGAACAAAGAAAGGCACATTGGGCGCTTCTCCAGACTTGCAACGGGGGCACCGCTAAGTTTAGGCCTCGCAGCAATACAGCTAGGTACTACGCCGCAACCTGGATCAAACGTACGAGTGCCGGAGATCAAAATCATTGTCCATGTGATGATATTTCTTCTTTCACCGAAACCGCTTAGGCGTTTCGTCAGAGTAGCCCCTCGACATTTGGTCGCCTGACTACCTTACTTAGAGCTCGTCTCGTTGCCTAATCTCTTCTTGCACCCCTTGCTTCAGCTCATCACCGGCCACCTGGTCAACGACGGCCTCGCCCTCTAGCGGCTCATCTTCGTCTACCACCGTCTCCTCGCCGATCTCTGCCGGCATCTCCTCCACGATCTTACCCACCTTCTCAACCAGCGACTCGGGATCTCCACCGACCGCCGATCGCTGCGGCTCCCGTCCGACTTCAATGGTAGGCAACGACTCGTCCGGCAAACCCTCGACGTCAATCTTGCCCTCGTTGACCACCACGGCCTCGGACGGGCTTCCGGACCCGGCGTACTTGACCACCGCTCCGCCGCCGCCGACGGTGAGGTTATACACCAGACGCAACGGCAGCCAAACCAGCCACCACATCGGCCCGTACAGCAACCTCCGGAACAGAAGCCACGCGCCCGTCGCCATGAGCATGTAGAGCGCCGTCTGGAGGTACCATGTATCGCTCTTGTTCGAGCGGAGCAGCGTGCCCAGCAGGTCCTTGGAGCTCGCCAGCATCGTGTCGAGCGAGCCGTACGAGTCGTCGAGCTGCGCCAGCGCCGCCGAGGACTCGGTCAGCGTCTGATGCGCGAACTCGCTGCGGGCCAGCTCCGCCGCGATCAGGTCGTGCGTGCGTCGTAGCGCGCTGGTGACGTTGCCGCTGGCGCCGACCGTCTGTTTGTCCTCCTCTGTCAGGGAGCTCTTGTTGTTGTTCGTTTGGTGAACCTGTCGGTGGCGGACAACGTCGGGCTTCTGTTGCGCGCTGAGGGACGGCGAGGACGCTTCGGAGACGGGCTGCGAGTAGGATTGAAGAAGGAGTTCGCGCTCGAGGCGCTGGGCCTGGGAGAGGTTGCGCCGAGCTGCGAGTTGCGCCTTGCGGAATGTGATTCGTGAGCTGTGTTTGACATTGCGTGTTAGTGATCATGCCGTCCTAAATTCCCTGAAATCCTCCGTGAACGGAAGTCAGAGCTGGGAGAATCCTCACCTCTTGATCTCCTGCTTCAACCTCTCCACGCCATCCTTGAGACGAGTCTTTGTGTGCTCCACCTCGCTACCCGGCCTGCCGTCCCTGAGATCCTCCACCTCTTCCCCGAGAAGCTCCAGCTCGTCCTCCTCTTCCCGGAGGATCTGGCTGATTTCCGAGCTCAGCTCCGCGCTGACGCTGTTCTCCTCGTCTGCTGTTCCTATTGTGCCGCCGCTACCGAGCGGGACCGAGCCCGGTTGGAATTTGAGGTTCTGAAGCCGGTCGATGAGGTCCTTGAGCTGGGTCGTGGTCTCTTGCAGGGCCGTTAGGCGCTCCTGCAGACCTTCGAAGGACATGGTTTCTTGTTTCTTCTTTTCCTCCTTTTTGGTTTTTGCGATCTGGCTCGTTTGGTTCGACGTGTGTACGGCCTCTTCGTCTTTCTTGCAGAAATCGTAGTGGAAAGGGTCTCGGAAAAGGGGGCAGGGAGTGGTGTTATAAGTCAAGGTGCGCTGAAGCAAGGTAGGGGCGTAAAGCTGGCCTTTCGCGGTGACGAAATGTGTGGCACAAAGATAAAGCCCCCCGTTATACCGATATGCAACTTATGCGCCACATGGTCTCCGGCCTGGGGGCATGTCGCAAGCCACATGCGGCAGCGTCCAAGCTCCTCTCCCCGTCCTCCCGAGTCCCGACACGAGCCACGCGACCCAAATTTTTGGCGACAGCTTCGAAGCGCATTGTGAAGTACCTAATCGAAAGTTGAACCACCTCCCGCTTGACTACACCATCACCAACTCCCCCTCTCGTCCGACCTCGCCCTTAAGTCCGCCTTTGACGATACGATACCACCCAACTACCTCACATCCTGCCAAACATACACCTCCTGCGAGACGCAATTGAACCGCCAAGATGATTACCAAATTCATGACCGAGATCACGACAAAGTTCAACCCCTTCTCGCCCGCAGCCAAATCCGCGCGCCTCTTCATGTCCAACATCCCGCCCACGGCGCGCTCTACGGGCACGACGATCAAGACTATCCTCCTGCCCCGGACGTCGACGGAGCCTGCTTCGCTTTATGTCAAGTTCAGTACGTTCTCCCTTCTGCCGTCTGCGCGTACCCATTTCCTATATCAGCCCACCGGGAAAAAAGCGTGAACCTTGGCTAATGTGTTGCGTCTATGTAGAGGACGGCAAGGAAATTACGATTGACTGCGAAAAGATGGGCGTCAAGAACATGATTGAGGAGGTGGACAGACACTCTCGCGGTTTGCAAAAGGCTGCCGACTTGACCGACTAGACGTAACGGTCAGAGAGAGGAAAGAATCCGTGTACTATTATAGCATCTTGTCCTTTTTAACGATAACCCGGCGTTTCTTGTTGGAATTGGGAACGATAGATATCCCTCAGGGCTCTCTCGATTGGCTACGTTAGGCGGCTCAATTTGTAGGAGAAAGACTAGACGAGTGATGCAGATGCTGTCAAACTGCTGTTGTACAAAAAAGGTTCAGGGGACTGAATCATCTCCTATGAATAGAAAATATTGACATCACAGGAAGCTCATGACTTATGTCATAAACAGCGGTTCCAATGACACAGATTTTACGGTACTTTAACTTTTTTGGTATTCTAGTTGACGCCTTTCGGGCCCTCAAGCTCTGACTCCGTTTTCGACTACATCTACTAACAAAGTGACGCAAAAAAATATGGTCTGAGCTTTCGTCTGGCTAAAGCAATCCGCCGGTACTACCAATTCAAGAAAACACAAGAGAGGCGAGGAATCCCTTATGCGGAGGCACCGCTAATGAAGAACCACTTATCGATGGAGGCGTCGATCTTGGCGGCGGGGAGCTCCTCGTGAGCGGGCAGAGGGGGAAGCTGGCCGGCGCTGATGAGAGCGGGGGACTGCTGGACGGTGGTGTTGCCGCTAAAGACGAGATTGTGAGTAAAGGGTATTCAGACAAAACGTGGCTTGCTGTGCCAAGGTATTGCGTGATGAGGAACTTACGTGGAAACGCTGCCGGCCTGGGTCTTGCCGGTGATGAGTCTCTCCCAAGCCTCGGCGCACTCACGGACGACGTCCATGGCGTAGCTGTGGCATTTTGTTAGCTAAATCGACATACAGTCTCACGGTTGAAATGACCAACCTCTTGTTCTTGCACTCGCCGGTGAAAGCGAACTGGTTCTCGGGCTTTCCGTCGGGGATCTTGTAGATGCGGAACCACTCGTTGGTGGCACGGAGAAGGCCGGGCAGGTGGCGCTCGACGTCCTCGACGTCGTTGAGCTTGGGAGCGAGCGGGTCGTTCACGTCGATAACGATGACCTTCCAGTCGGTCTCCTCCTCGTCGAGCAGGGCCATGACACCGAGGACCTTGACCTGCTTGACCTGGCCGGTGTAGCCGACAAGCTCACCGATCTCGCAGACATCGAGCGGGTCGTTGTCACCCTTGGCCTTGGTCTCGGGGTGGATGGCGTTGGGGTCCTCCCAGGTCTGGAGCGAAGTGTTAGATATTGTTCTCTCGACCAAGGACTGATATCCTTTCAGGGGGCTTTTTTCTTCGTACCTGGGGGAAGGCTCCGTAGTTCCAGAGGTAGCCCTTGTGGGGGAAGCAGTTGCGGACGTAGCGAAGCTTGCCCTTCTTGATGTCCTGCTTGATGGGGTTGAGGAGCTCCTCCTTGGAGATCTGTAGTTTGAATTGTCGGTCAACGTCACATGCCCGTTTTTGTACGTGCTCGTGTCACAATGCTCATGGCAGAGCAACAATAGCGATCAGCACAACAGAGGGGAGGACACGAATGCTTACCTCGAGCTTGGCGTTGGTCCAGCGGGGGATCTCAACAACCATGTTCAGGATGGTCTGCTCCTGGTTGGCGTACAGAGGGATGTCGTGGAAGGGGGAGACGGGGACGCCATCCTTCTCGATGTAGACACGGTGCTCGAGGGTGTTGGGAGCACCAACCTTGCGGAGGGAGTAAGGGGAAGCCATTGCGGGCGATTGGTGATGGAAACTTGGGTCAGAGTCCTTTGAGATGGTAGAGAAGTGACGGGCAATCTGCGCGGTGCGTTGGGAGGGAATTTTGGATTTAATACCGGGGGCACCAGCAGTTTGTGACGGGCGAGGAGGGGTGCCGTTGGCGGATGATGCAAGGAGGGATGGAGGGGGAGGGGTAGGAGACCCGGACGTTAGCTTGGTGTGTGCCGCCAGGGTTGCAGAGTGATTGGCCCGGGACGGGGCCTGAATCGGGGGTCGACGAGTGAGTGTGGAAACGGGGCTGGGTCGGGCGGAAGGCACGCGAAAACTGAGTGCGCGGCGGCCAGTACCAGTACAGGCGGTGGAAGGCAAAGGCAGTACGGATACGGGGATGAATGAGCTGACAGAGCTGACAGTTGTCTTGCGGAGGGACGGGAGCTGCAGCTTAATGCCTCGTAACAGCGGCATGTGTATAGGTAGTGTAGTATACAAAGTGACCTTGGGGCCGGGCCGGAGGGAAATCGGTCAAAGGAGAGTAGAAGAAAGGGGGGATCAAAGGGGAATTCGGCGTGTGGCGTTTAGAGTTATATCACACAACAGAGGACTCTTCAGCAATTGCGGTAAGACTATTTCGGTCTCATCCGAGGTTCAATGGCAAAAAGAGGGTGAGTGTTGCGCAAGACGCTAAAAGATGTAGCCGTGGCTGGATTGCTGCCGTTCGAACAGGATGGATGCTGGATGGGTCTTTGAGGTCTTCGCGGCTATCGGGGCTGCAGAGGCTAGGGACAAGGCAATTGCTTCTGGTCAGGACAGGGCAAGGAAGAAACCGGGAGAATCATTCAGTCTGTTTTTGTCGCGACAGCAACCTGCCGACAACGCAGCCTTCAGAAAATTCTTCACTAGCCTCACCGTGGCTGGAGCTTGCCGATGTACCCCTGCAACTTTGCCCCTCAGTTACCCCTCCATAGTGTCAAGGTCTCTATCAGATGTCTCTCAAGTCTCAACCCAAGGAGATGCCATTAATTGTTCAGGGACATGACATGGTCGAGGCTTCCAAACAGTGCTTATTTGAGTTGATTGTGATGTCAGCCTCCCAAGGTACCTATGTCTTGTGTGTGCACTATCTACACAAAAGACTCGAGTGTCTTCCCACCAGAGTGCACCAACTAGTGCTCATGTAGCTGATATTCGTTGAGTTTTCTTCCAGAACACAACCTTCCAAAGGCTTAGCTGTAAGACGCAATTTTTTCATGATTAAGCGGGAAGTCTGTTGCCTCGGTTTTGTAAGTGAGACGGTGGACAACCCTAGCAACAAATTATAATGAGAACTTTGGTAGAATACTACTGCACTCGTATTTAGAAACCCCAAAGCAAAACAACTTCTCTATTTCAGTATTCAAGTATCGAGTTATCAAAGTGACTCACTGGATGCAACAATCTCGACTCGCGGGCGGATTTGACAGACAAAATCAGTGCCCAAATCGCATTCAATTCGGCTAAGCGACGCCAAGTTGAATAGTCAAGAGAACTGCAACCAGTCAAGTACCTTTCTCGAGTAACTCAAGCAGAGGCACTTGTTTAAACAGCCAGTGACCCACAATCAGATTAAATAGTGACCAGGGACATTCGATGGCAGATTTTCGGTAGAAAGATGGAGTTCGTGGCATCTAAATACTTTGTGGTTGGTAGGTTCCTCGATTGGTGACCCTCATTGCTTGTTCAGTCGAACGCCACACCCCGATAATTGCTTATCGATAAGATACCGTGACACTTTTCTCCGTTATGCACTCTAGCCCGTCAGGGCATCGCCGAAGGAGTCAACCATCGGATTGCGCCGACCATTCCCATTTCTTTTATTCAAGGCCATGTAGCTTGACTTTTCCTTCTGGCCATGTCCCTTCGCACGCTGCTCAAGACAATGGGTTCAGAAATCAAGAAAGTCCCGATCCCTCGTCGGGGGGTAGACTATAGGGGCAAGCTCGTTCTTGCGCCCATGGTCCGCTCTGGCGAACTTCCCTCTCGCCTCCTGGCTTTACACTATGGCGCCGACTTGGTCTGGGGTAAGTCGCAAAAGTATGAGGAGCATTGAGGGAATCGCACTGACAGGTCCAATAGGCCCTGAGACCGTCGACAAGGCCATGATCGGCACGACGCGCACAGTGAACCCCGTTACCAACACGATAGATTTCACCAAGATCCCCTCGTTCGGCCACAAGAACCCTCCAAAGCATATGCCCGAGGCAATGATTTTCAGCACACACCCGGAAAAGGAGGCGGGGAAGCTCATCTTCCAGATCGGAACGGCAGACCCGGACTTGGCAGTGCAGGCGGCTAGGCTCGTGGCGGGTGATGTCGCCGGCATCGACGTAAACGCAGGTTGCCCGAAGCCGTTCAGCCTCAGCGGCGGAATGGGCGCGGCTCTTTTGAAGACGCCGGACAAGCTTGTCGCAATCTTGGAGGCTCTGGTTGCGAACATTATGCCAGAATTCGAGATTGGCATCAGCGTCAAGATTCGCCTCCTGGACACACCAGAACAGACAGAAGCCCTTGTGCGCAAGCTCTGCGCTACAGGTATTACTGGCCTCACGATCCACTGCCGCACAACACCTATGCGCCCCAGAGAGCGTGCCATCCGTGAGCAGCTTCGCATGGTCGCGGAAGTATGCCACGAGGCGGGCGTTGCTTGCATCATGAACGGCGACGTTGAGAGCCGAGACCAAGCGGTCGACCTGATCAGGGAGTTTGGAGTCGACGGCGCGATGATTGCTACTGCAGCTGAGGCGAACTCGAGCTGCTTCAGGACGGAAGCAGATGGAGGCCTGGCGTCCTGGGAGGAGGTGGCGGCTACGTACGTCAAGTACGCGCTCGAGGTCGACAACAAGTACGGCAACACGAAATACCTGCTTTGTCAGATTGTCCCGGGCAAGAGCGTGACATATCAAAAGATGAACCAGTGCAAGAGCTACACTCAAATCTGCCGCGCACTCGGGCTTGAGGATCTCATCGAGCTTGCTCAGCAGACTGATCTTAATAAAGGCGTCGACCCTGAAAAGGGGCCTGGCAAGGGCGGGAAGAAGCCCAACTCAACCGCAATGGCGGCCGGCGGCAAAATGGGCGAGAGCAGGGCTGTGCAGGCCCCTCGAAACAAGTCTCAAAGGGGTGTCGGCGCGCCCAAGGAAACACAGCCAACGCAGCCGGCTCCTGCTGCCTTGCAGACTTGAGATAAATCACAAAGCAATTCTCAACCGGGTTCATTTACATAGATAGGAGTTTGGGGCCATCGGTAAAAAAGCATAGCGGCATCCTGAGTCCTTCATTGACAGGCCGGGTTAATGGAATTGAGGGATATAGAACCCAAATACGACTTTTATACACATAATATTGGGTAATGCCCACTCACCATGATTTGCTTCACTCCGGATCCGAAGACAAGCATCGGGCTGATGAAATATGTCAATTACAAAAGGAACCGATGGTAGCGACTCTGTTCGCTTCTATGGTACAGTTCCACGCTTCCTTTATTTGCCCTTCTTCACCCAGTCCTCGACGGTTTCCCGGGCATCCGTGACCTTCTCATCAACATATCGTACACCAATCTCACTGTGGAGCCTCGCCATCCTCCAGCTGTTCTCGATGCTCTCGCGAAGCTTGAGGTGGCCCTGCGCAATAACGGGGAAACGCTGCTCGTACTTCCAGGTGAGGTTGGAGACGTTGCCCATGGTGATGGGCAGGACGGTCCAGCCCGCAGTGATACCGAAAGCCAGGGGCGCCGTGGCGCGCAGGACGATGCTGCGGTTGCGGGTGACGATGCTGCCGGCCATAGCGGCGACCAGGACGTAGATGGCACCGGGCATCAGCTTCTCGCCGCTCTCGCGGGGCGGGGCGAGGGATGCGATCGTGCCCGTGAAGGACTGCTCGAGGTTGAAGGCCTTGTCCATCGTCCGGTTGACGGCGTCCTCGGCACCGACGGCGTACTGGTACAGGGCGAGGCGCGCCTTGCCGATCTGGACGGCGAGGCGGTCGGTAGGGGTAGGTCCTCGCGACTTGGGTTCTTCGGCCTGAGGAGGCTGCTCGGCCTTGGGGATCGGAGGAGGGAGAGTGCCGCTCGTCGCGGGGAGCTCCGGGTCGTCGTATATGGGCTTCTTGGACTGCGAAATTGTCAGCTACGCTCCCATCTAGGTGCCGCGAGTCGACTGCGGACGTACGTGGCTGCTCTCGGGAGCTTCAGCGTAGGCAGTTCGGGGTGCCAGGGCGAATCCTCCCAGCATAACCGTCGCTGCTAACGGCGCGGCGCGCTACGTTTCTCATATTAGTCTTCACTTCGATGAGTAGTTGATTGGCAAGAGAAAATTACCCGTTGTAGCAACACTCTAGCAGCCATGATCCGCTCAATTGGTCGATTGAGGGAATTGGGTCTTGGTCTCGCGAGAATTATTTGGATGTCACGGAATGATGCTTGTGCTTGCAAGCACCTAACGCCAGGCCCACTGGACGCTGGTGCGGCTATTTCCGGAGCTCGGGAATTCGATTATGCACTGGCCTGGTATGACTGGCAGCACTGCACACCCTTGCACAAAAAATTACTCCCGCCGTCAGTCCGGATGCCATCCCGGCTACAGCCTATCGATTGGTTTATCTCATTCCCATTAATTCTCCCTATCCAGAAGCATTCCCATGGTCACGGCCCTTGGTCGCATTTACAACCACCCTCCTTTTTTCTCGCTACATGTTTTACTAGAATTTCCGCCCCGACTGGTAGTTATGTTGGTGCCATCGACGGATTCCTCATAATGATCAAATCTTCAACCCGCGGTCTCTGGGTCTGCACCCAATGCGTTCGGCAAGCTTCCCGAGGCCAACAGCGCCGGTGGATATCCGCAGTGTCCGGCGCCGCTCCCTCGAGCATCACGGCCGACCACTCACTTCCGGGAAGAAATACCGACGATGCGATCCTGCGCGAGCTTTTCGACTCTCCCGACCGAGTGTCCAAGGCCTTCAAGGCGGCCGGCCCCAGTGTTGGCCTCTTCAAAAACCGATATCTCACCAGCCCGAATGGCTTCTACGTATTTGCCCGCAAGAGCTTAGACAAGGCGCAGAAAATTGTCCACCGAGTCCTCCATGCGTCGAGTGTGTCCGAATACCAGGCCGTCGTCAAGGACCTTGACCGCCTTAGCGACCTTCTCTGCCGAGTCCTCGATCTCTCTGACTTTGTCAGAATGACACACCCAGATCCCAGATTCCAGCAAGCAGCAGCCGGAGCTTGGTCGCTGGTCTATCAGTATATGAACCAGCTGAACACCATGACCGGACTGAGTGACCAATTGGTCAAGGCTATGGAGCAGCCCGAAGTGGTCGCGGCATGGTCAGAGGAGGAGAGGACGGTCGCAGAGATTCTCAAGCTGGACTTTACCAAGTCGGCCGTCGACTTGCCGCAGCAGGAACGGGATCGCTTCGTTGACCTCTCGCAGCAGATAAGTGAGGTCGGATCCATGTTCGTCTCAGACATGCAGCCTGCGAAGCGGGAAGTTGTGCTTCCTTCATCGAGCTTCTACGGCTTATACCCCGGGATCGCTCGAGCGCTCACAATGAGGGGCAAGTTGCGCCTCCCCACCACCGGTCCTGAAGCTCAGGCCGCGCTCCGGAGCGTCAAGGACGAGGGGACGCGGAAGGAGGTGTATACCGCCATGCGCACCGCTTCGAAGCAGACAGTCGGTCTGCTAGAGACGATGCTCAAGCTCCGCTCTGAGCTGGCGGACCTGGCGGGGTTCTCGAGCTACGCTCACCTGTCCCTGAAAGACAGAATGATGGCAAAGTCTCCCGGCGCTGTGATGCAGTTTCTTCACGCGCTGCAAAAGTACAATACCCCTATTGTTCGAGAGGAAATGTCGGACCTCCTGAAGTTGAAGCAGACCCGACTAGACAGCACCGCTACTCAAGTCCACCCGTGGGACAAGGATTTCCTCATGGACGGCGTGCGGTCCGAGATGAGTTTGCCAGTCCGTCATCCGGATCACCTCCCCTCTTTTTTCTCCATCGGTACCGTCATGCAGGGCATGTCGAGACTGTTCACTCGTCTCTACGGTATTCAGTTCAGACCAAAGGAGTCGCAGCCCGGCGAGACTTGGCACGAGGATGTGCGGCGTCTGGATGTCGTGACGGACACGGGCGATCTCATTGCCGTCCTGTACTGCGACCTATTCTACAGAGAGGATAAGTCGCCCAACCCTGCTCACTTCACAGTGCGCTGTTCCCGAGCCATCGCCCCGTACGAAGTCGAAGAGGCTGCGGAAGATATCCACAACGCCACCTCCGATATGCCCAAGTTTGAGAGACCTGAGCAAGCCGCAAACGATGGCATGGAGAGCTTGCAGCAGGATGGTGTGCTGATGCAGCTGCCCACCATTGCTTTAGTTTGCGATTTCCCCAAGCACGATGCGAAGAGCTCCGCCCCGGCGCTCCTGTCGTACTACCAGGTCGAAACTTTGTTCCACGAAATGGGTCACGCCATCCACTCCATCCTCGCTCGCACCAAGCTCCAGAACGTGTCCGGCACGAGATGTGCCACCGACTTTGCCGAGCTCCCGTCCACGCTGATGGAGCACTTCGCCGCAGACCCATCCGTGCTGGGCCTCTTCGCCCGCCACTGGAAGACGGACGAGCCCCTACCGTACCAGATGGTCGCCGAGCGAATCCGCCTGGCGAAGCGCTTCGAGGGCATCGACACGGAGAACCAGATCCTCCTCTCCCTGCTCGACCAGTCGTACCACAGCCCCGAGGTCGCCGACCCGTCCTTCAACTCCACGCGGGTCTACCACGGCCTGCAGAAGCAGTTCTCCCAGGGCGGCTCCGACCCCGCCGGCACATGCTGGCAGGGCTTCTTCGGCCACCTGCACGGCTACGGCAGCACCTACTACAGCTACGTCTTTGACCGCGTCCTCGCCGAGCGGGTCTGGCGCGTGGTCTTCTCCGCCGGCGCCGACGGCAAGGCGCTCAACCGGGAGAACGGCGAGCGGCTCAAGGAGAACCTCTTGAAGTGGGGAGGCAGCCGGGACCCGTGGCAGTGTCTGGCGGACACCCTCCAGGACGACCGTCTTGCCAAGGGTGACGATAAGGCCATGGCTTTGGTGGGTAGCTGGGGCATCAAGGATGACCATGCGTGAGGAACGTGTGCTAGCCATTGTATTATAGATGTAAGAAAGTCCGCATCGCACGAGACTAGAATTGTATAAGAGTAGACATGTATCAATGACTAGATCGCACTGATACGCTCATCTTGTATTAGTGACGTGCTTGCACTCGGTCCAATTTCCAGATGCTCATACCTGACAGTCAGCTCTGCTCACGCGGAAAGACTCTGGCAGTGCCGCCAACCGTCCCTGCCTCACCAAGCCTTCATCTGATGAATTTTCCAACCCCCGAATACACAGAGAATACGCACAGGGAGAAGCCTATATACCCCTCCTCAAGTCCATTCCCATCACCAGCAACAGCAGACGCCTCTCTAGGTCGGGGGGTCAGGACAAGCTGGCTGGGTGGTGGAGTGGTCAAAGGTCAACAATCAAATTACGCCCACAGCCTACTCGACGGCAGGCTCACTAGTTCCCGAGTTCGAATCCCAGCATGAGCACCGAGAGATGTAGCCCCCAATTCAGCACCGGGGGTGTGAACTCTTTTTTTGCTTTTGTTATCTTTAGTAGATGTCGGCATGGATATTCGTCTAATATTTCAATGTCTCCAATGCCATCCTCACGACACGCCCCCTTCCCCCTCCCCAGCCCCGCCGTTCCTTAATGAACCCGCATCATGCACAGAGCGTTTCACGTACACCTCTTCTGGCATTGATCAACAATACAAGCCGAACACTACAAGCCCCAAATGATTAGCGATATATATCCCAGGAAAGGAGCTTAATAAACGCATATGGCACGAGAAACTCACGTATTTATCACCATTCGTCTTCTGGTGCCAGCAGTACCCGGGTCCTAGCGCTCTGCAGCAGTCGCACTCGACTCTCTTGGGCAACAAACCACCGCCGACATCGTTAGGCGAGGAGGATTGGTCGAGAGAACGGGCTTGTCGGACTTCTGCGGTGTCTAAGGCTGCCGCCGCCGCGGAAGAGAGGAGAAGGGGGAGGATGGTGAAGATGGAGAATTGCATGGTGGGCGATGGGGTGTCGTTTGGTGAAAGGTGTAAGTGGGATCGCTTCGGGTGTGCGGTACGCGGGCAGAGTGTGAGAATATAGGGTGCTTCTTTGAATGAGTTGACGTATGGAGCTGGAGTAAGGCCGTTCGATTTGCTACAGTTATGGCCCAATTTATACATGATAACCTCGACTGTAAAGCGGTTGACATAGGTAAGGTAGGTACGCAAAAAGGAGCGGTTTCCCGTAGCCGATGCTTACGCCCTTTGAGTTGGCTTTTGAGTTGAGCCTAATTAGATTACACGCCGTAGTCATCTTACTCTACAACCACTGCCATCTCTACAATCTCATTTCTTTGTGTCCTCGCCAAGAGTTCTACCTACATTGTGATTCTCGTAAAAAGCCGTACAGCTAAATGGCCCATTGGTCATGGTGAGAGTTTGGGGCACCAGTTGGTCTTTTCAAAACTGTGAATCGTCTCATTACTTTGGCTATTGGGTATTTCTTTAGCATCCCCGAAAAGTCAAATATAGTTTAGTCAAAGCTAGAGACAACTTTGAGTCTCAACCACCTTGCGCCAAGCAATTATCCCCCTTTCCCTATGGCTCCATTGACTTTTTCCCTTTCGTATCTTTTTTCATAGGGTATTGGATCGCTGTCAAGTCTTAAGTGCCCCAGTCGTGCTTTATAAGTAGGTCGAACATTTCACTATGGACGGCGTCACCGAAGACTACTCGTCTAACACAGGCCATTGGGCAATCTACACAGAAAGTGTAGGACCTCCCCACTCATTTTCCCCGAACATCAGCTATTCCTTAATTCCAATGTATGCCTCAACGTCCACTCCTGACTTAGCTTGGTAGTTGATTCTGCTGAGGACTACCCAGAACCAGAGTCTGCGTGTCAACGTGGGACGTCTTAGTTTTATCTACTGGCAGTCAACGCAAAATCACAGCGGCATGGCTACCCGATACCTTTCAAAGAAGCAAACGTCACATGCTGCGCACCTCACACACAAACGGTGACATCGGAAACTCCGAAACCCCGCAGGTCCCCAAAACCCCCGAGCCTCCTCCAACGGCCGACGCCCTTCCGTTCAACCGGTACGACGTGGGGTCCGGTCATCATCCCACCGGAGCCGACTCACTGCAGTGGAGTCACCCGGACCACGGACGTCGTCGGCATAGAAAACTTACCCAGCCGGCCAACCGCGCCGACCCAGTGCACTCCATCACGAGCCATGCCGCGCTCAAAAGTCCTCCACAACAAACGTCCACTTCCACGACTCCAAGAACCGAAACAAACAAACAAAAGGGCAAAACCACAAGACGCCAACGTAGAAGCAGGCATCTAGGCAGCGGGGGAAAGCCACACGCCGAGGCTTATCAGTTAGTAGACGACACGTGGAACAAAGTAATACAGTACCTTCTCTACGAACAATCCGTAGTGCACTAAATCTAGTACACATGACGACTTGGGCGAATGGCATGGGAGGTCTGCATCCCCATCACATCAGACGATAACCTCACGCCAGCCCTATCGGAATCGAATCATGCTCACGTCCCGGAACCCCGCAGCACCCTCATTGATGACCAACGGCCTGCCGCTGGGCGGTGACGGCCCCAACCCCCAATCCCCTCCTCCAGCCTACGCCTTAGAAAGCTACTCCCTCTTCTAGCGCATGCAGGCGCCACGCAGGGCAGCGGCAGGTCGGCCCCTTCGGAGGGAACAAGATCCTGGATGCTCACTGCTTAGGGTTGGGACTTGGGAAGGGACAAAAGAGCTGTCAGGGTGGGTGAGTACATGGGAAAATGGGAGATGACAGCTCGCATGAACCCTTCCAAACGTGGTGCCATGTTCTCACGATCATTGCCCTAGCCCGCCGCATACGTGGGCTCGTGGAGCTTAATTTGACCAGGGAAGTTGACCCAAAGCAGGAGATCTGCAATAAAACATTCCATCTATTGACATGTGTCTGCCTCATGTGGTAAATCTCATCCCAGAAAAGTTCAGCTATGGTGGAAAAAAAACAAAATGAGATCCAAGTACCCCTGCTTTGCAACAGAGCGTACTTAGTGACTGTCCCCTTTAGCTCCTGAAAATGCCGTGATAACAACCGTACCGCCGCCACACTCCCCAACACCTGCCGGATAAGTTGGAAGAGAGAAAGTGATGATTTCATATCTGCGTCTTTCCATGTATGCCTGGAGTCTTCCAGGCTATGGATTATGTGTTCGCGTTCGTCGTGTGAAGTGGGATTTGTATGGTACAAATATGCCCGAGTAAGAATGTCCCTGAATCGGACTCAAAATTAAGAGGATTTGTGTCTAAATTGCCATGGGGGTTGCGGTAGGGGTGGGCGATGCGCCGCCAGGCAGTTGGAGGAAACCGCCGTAGTATTCGTCTAGCCAACGGGCAGCTTCCTCGCCGGCGTCGTCCATGCTGGAATCCCATCGGCCAACGGAACCCACATAGCCGTCAGGTCGTACGTTGACAATGGAAACCTCACCGGGACCGAGGCTGCCAAGCCACTTGTTGGTGCAGAGCTGGCCACGCGTGTCCTGTTCTGGAATGTCGTCCAGGTAGAAGGTCCAGCGGCTGTCCTGGAGCAGGGCAGGCAGGTCCGAGATCTCTACATCATCTTTAGGCATTGTAGCTGTAACAAGTGTTAGTAATTAAACATGATTTCTGGCCATCAATACTCACTAATCAAGGCAAATGTGAAAAGATGGCTGACAGCCGTGTATCTCTCGGGCCGGTAGTAGATGTCTTCAGACGATGGCAGTCTGGGCTGCGCAGCGTAAGAAGCACTAGCCGAGGCCGAGAGCTTGCTGATGAAAGAGTTGGCTGAGGCGATGGATTGGCAGAAAGTTTCCAGGAAAGGGCTTGACGCCTGGATGTCCCACATCAAAAGGTAAATGCGGAACTGTCCGAGCATCGGAATGTCGAGCTGAATATCCACAGGATTTGAGTCGATGTATCTGGTGACCTTGGCCGGGGGAAGCAAGCAGCCAGGTCTGGCATCTCCCATAATGAGGCCTTGAGAGTCGGGCCTGTTCAGGGGGCTCTCAGAGTATTCAGCACCAATGCCAGAAATGAAACGGACATTCGTCTTGAAGTTCTCTGAGAGTGCTACCGCGTCACCTCCCGCAATCTGATTAGCGTGCTCGTAGTCGAAGTTGACGAGGTCAACAGCGATCTTTCTCCGCTCTTCTTCGTAACTCTCGAGCAGGCATTGCTTCGCGAGTCCTCGAATGCTCAGGTTGAGCTTCCACGCAATGTTCCAAGAGTCGTGCATAGAGGTGTTCATGCCCTGAGCAGACTTGGGGGAGTGCGTGTGACTGGCATCACCAGCGAGGAACGCCCTCAGATGGGGGTCGGTGAACCGACTGGCCACTCTCTGACCAATCTGGTAACGTCCAAACCACTCAATATACTTCCAGTCAACCTCGAAAGGCGCCATGATCTTCTTCGCTCGAGCCATGACGAATTCCTGGCCAAGCTCTCGCTTGTCGGCCTTGGGGTTCGCCTTGAGCTCAATGTAGAAACGGGTCATATTTCTCTCTCTCGGAATAATCAAGATAGAGCCGTATTCCTGGGAGTATACCAGCGTCTTGGACCAAATGTCTGGGAAATCGGTGATGAGTTCGCCATCGAGAACACCCCAGATTGCTGGTTGCGAAAGGCCAATAGCCCGCGCATCAGGAATGCTCTTTCGTACTTTGGAGTGGGCACCGTCACCTTTTTCTGATCAGTATATGCCTCTCACAGTGCAGCGGTTTTGTAGCTCACTCACATCCAACCAAATACTGTGTAAGAATTGTCCGCCGGTCTTGGGTCACGTTCGTGCGACAATTGACCTGTAGGGGCCCCGCCTTGTTTTCCGGAACGCTGTAGGACTCGAATGCGGTATTCCTCCGTACCTCGACCCCGCGCTTCTTCAAGTCATCAATAAAGAGGCCTTCAACCATACCCTGGTGAACGAGCAAAATGTAGGGATCGAGAACGTCGATAACGGGAGGGTAGTGGACCTCACGGCCCAATCTGTGCAGCGGCTCATCGGCAGTGCTTCGCCAGAAGGAGATATCGTAGACACGAACACCGCGGAGGAGCAGAGGGTCGGCGAGGCGCATTTGACGGAAAGTCTCGATCGTCTTGGGCTGCAATCCATCTGCTCTGTTTCGGGTATTAGCTTACAGAGGCAAGGTAGGTATGTGTATGTGGACTGTCTACCTTCCAACGGGTGTCTGGTCAGCTCTGTCGTCGATGACCTCGACCTTGATTCCAAAGCGCCCGAGATTGGCAGCTAGCATCAAACCAGCGGGGCCAGCACCAACCACGCACACCTGGGCCTCTATAGGAGGCTCAGGCAAGCTGCGCAGGAGGGTGAGTGTGTCTACGGTGGGATCGATAGCATGAAGACGGCCAGCGGCGGTGCCGGCCAGCCCATTCGTCGGGGCAGTCTGTCCGTTTTGGTCCTCCATTGAACCGTCCGAGTTAAGTACACCAGGTGCCATAGTCGAGAGACGTATTGTGATGTCACAGTCTCGTAGGACTGCCGAATCGAGGTAATTGGTCGTCGATACGTGATACTAGGTGGTTTGTAAAGTGAGTAACTAGCTAGCTAGCTATGGTAGAGGACCAATTGCCAACGGAATCGAACGATGGCTATTGGGGAGGTAGGTGTAGGTGTTTAGGCTGGCTGGCCGCGCTCGCACGGCTTGCGGTTGAAGACTTTCGAACGTGGGGTCAAGGATGTATATGCGCGGGCTTGAGATACACCACACTGGCGCTCAAAGGCACAGACTGAAGTAGGCGTGGAGCTCGAAGCGAAGCGAAGAGGTAAACGGGATGTATTCGTACGGGCTCCAGCCGTCAAGAGGTGTAGTGTGGTGTCTCGTCGTCCGAGGGGTCTTTGTCTTGTGTGCGACGCAAGGGAAAATTGTTGGGTCCCAGGAGGTGGTATTCGAGATATAATAATAATATGAGATACGGCAGGGTCGCTGAATATGCAGCCAGACCAGGGCGGATTAGAGACCAAGGACCAGAATAGTGGGTGTGTGGTGAGGTGGGTTTGCAAGTTGCAGCGAACGAGCAGCAAGGCCAATGACGGATGTTGCTGGACCAGGGCTGCAGCAGCAGACGGGACAAGTACACACAGGGAACGGGGAGAGAGCGCAGAGAGGGCAGACAAGACGGTGAGAAGATCAGAGAAGGGAAAAAAGGGAAGAGAGGAAAAAACAACCGACGAGTCCCTACAAGACCGAGAAAGTGGGAAAGAAAAAAAAAAAGAGGGGAGGGGCCTGCAGACTGATAGCTGGGTGGTTCGACAGAATTGGAGATTGCTTCGCGGATGCTTCAAACGATTTCAGAAAGTGGCATGATGAGCTTTTGGAGAGCGGCAGGAATCGAGTGAGAATCAGACCACCACGGATTATTTACCCATGCCTGCCATACTTTCAGCCTCTTCCCATTGGCCGACCCCCTCCGGAAGGGACAGCAGGGTCCAGCTGGTTGGGCGCTAGTCCCGTTTCGGTGTGCTCCAGAACGTGGCAGGTGCGTTCAGTGCTCCTTCCTCTACCTACGAATACCAATACCTAGGCCTGGCGTGCCTGGTTCACACCTTCCAGAATCCACGGATTGGACCTCTGAAGGCTGACGGATGACTGCGTTCACGCCATGGCGGGGGGAAGCCGCGACCGTTTATGAGGCCACTTTTTGACTTTAGCCTCGTTTCCAGCAACACCCGCCCGGTGTTTTTAAGCATCACCACTTCACTTTCACCTTCACTTCACCTCTCTTCCCCCCCTCAAGCTCCCACCCAATCCAACTCCGTCCCTCTCTTTTTACACTATGCCTACTGCCCTGCAAGGTATGGATATGGATAATGATACATCGCTGCTCACAAATCATTCAACCTCATCCGGCCTAATGAGTACCGTCCCATATCTTTCGATGGAGTCTTCACTCGGATTCCAGTCTTGACCCCTCCGCTTAGGTCCGCCTATGCACCTTGGCAGCTTGCACTCTCGGCGCCCAAGTGGGTTCGTTCGATAGAGTTGCAACCTCTGAATACCTTAAGCTAAGCGGTATGGAGTACGTACATGAACGACACCATCACGAGCAAATTACTCCAGACTTTGCAAATGTCGACATCTGTCACCCTCGCGTTCATACCCGTCCCATTATCACTGCACCACCAGCAGACTGCGGAAACATTCCAACGTTGGACCATCCTCCCCCGGGATTAGCTCCGCCGGCGGGTACCAAGTACGGAGGTTGGAAACGTGGAAACCCCCGATGCCGGGCATGGCATTGTCTTCTACTCCCGTCGGCCCCTTCCCCATGTTACGCCAATGCTCATCTCTGACATGGCGAGCTGCGAACGGATACATCATACACACAATCCAGTGTAGCAGCGCAGCCAGCATCTGACATGTCACTGTCACTGTCCCTGACGGAGCCCTATTCGTTTCTTTTTTCGACTTCTGACACCGGCTTTCTGCAACTTCCAGAGGCCCCCTACTTTTCACGTTCCTTCCAACAAGTTCTAAGCAGAACCCTGCGGCCCAACACACACCGCTGCGCCCGTCTTCACAACACCATGGCAGAACCCTACGAGACTTCAATTCTACGATGCCTTTCCTTTGCATAACATCCGCGGCACAGCTACGCCCTCGTATGGCAATGGCATGGTATGGCGTGGCTTGGGCCTATACCATTTGCTCTTCCAACTGCCGTATCCAATGTGCCTCATCCTGATGGCTATTTTCTCGCCCAACTATCGACCAACCCGGCCGACCTTAACGCAACACCACGCGGCTGCTCTCCAGATTTTCCGATCTGACCCCATTCACCAATACCAAGAACAGCAGACCCCGAGGGTACCGCCAACCTGGTCGTCCCCAGGTTTCTTTCTGGAAAGTCTTAGTCACTAGCACCGTCTTTTTTCCCTCAGGACCAAGACGGCACGTTGAGGGCTTTTTGACTAGACGGGCTAGTTCCATTGGCTTCTTACTCTGCCTGACCCTGGCTCTCCTCCTTCTGATCGGCGAGGCCCCGCGCAAAAGGCCTGCCTGCAGACCGGAGCCGACCGTCGACTGCTTGACCCCTGATCACGGATTGAGTGCGTCTGCTTCCAAAACATCCGGATCAAACAGGAGAAACAGCTCGCCTATCGATGCAGCTATCCCAACGCTGTGGCTCGATTGATAACAACGTCCCCTACTTCTCGGTGTAATCATTCTGGTTGGCTGTGAGAACGGCAACTTTTGCCGTCTCATCATGCGTTTTGCTCGTGGACAATCGGCAAAAGGCACTATGGAGTCTTCCCCTGCGTCACAGCTCTCACTCTCCCCGCGGCAAGTGACTTCTGGGGAATGCGAGTATCAAACACAAGCATATCGTGCGACTTGGCGTATGTATTCGAGCTAGCCAAGTGGTCTTCGTTCGAATTACGACAAATGAAGAAGCCTTCGTTCTACTCTTGAGATGGATGATAGAAAAGTGCTCCTAAGTGATCATAGCATGTGATCATACTGGTCATATGGTTTTGCTTAGGAGAGACATTACCTCTTTTCATAATCCCCATGCATCTTTCCATCCATATTCTGTTTATGACAGCTTTCACATAGCGTCCTCTCTGATACTGTTGATGAAATGCCACCCCTAAGCAGCACCAACACTTCGCGCGAATTCTCACAATAAGATGGCATCGTTTAAATAGGAGCCTCAATCTCGTGGTTCATTTGGCTTGATATTTCTCTTCCTACTATGTGGCTTCCTCGAGGACGATTTCGGCCTTGGAGACAGACGTTGGTGAAATGGGATGACACAGTTTGAGCAGAAGCCTTGGGACAAGATGCTGGACAGTTTCAGAGTTCAAAACTGTCACAACGGGCGTAATGATGCTAAATAGTGTTTATCTTGGTACACTCTAACATCACCCGGCACTTGTTCATCCATCGCTTTGAGCTGCGGTGCGATCTCTCCATTGAATTATAATCATAGCATTACAGACGCAGTGGTCAGATTTACCCAAATATCATACACGCGGACAAGCTTGGGTCTTCAAAAAGTCGACCCGAACCTCCTTCTCCCCTCCCAAAACAAGATCGAAACTGGTGCTCCAGCCGCTCGTTGCAAGCTGCACCTGCGCACGGAGGAGCGCATACCCGCTATCCTCCTCGCCCGTTGCCGCGAGCTCGACGCTCTCGACGTCGAGCCTCCTGTGGATCGCCTCGGAACGCCGCACGAGACGCACAATGTCCATCGTCACGGCATCTGCCGCGCGCTCCTTCAACACCGCGGCCGTGACGGTGAATGTGCGTTCGTTGTTCACGCTCGTCCGGTTGACGCAAGAGGAGGCTGCTTGGTAGAGCAGCGCGTCGTCCAGCGGGAACCCGGCACCATCGTTCTTATACACGGATGTGGCGTTGCTCGACGGCGTCGTCAGGTGGACAAGGAAGCTGCTTATACCGCTCACTGCGCTGATGGCCGTCTCAAACTGGTACCAGGCGAACGTCTCGCCCCAGAGGCCGTACGTGACGCCGCCTCCGTCGAGCGTCGCGGGGATAACAACGGAACCCTGGCCCCCTCGGTCTGCAAAGCTCAGATGGACGGCCAAATCGCCCGCGTCCCGCCCCGTCCCCTCTGTCGTCCTCACGCGCACCCAGCCGCTAAACGCAAGGCTCCCGTTGCCGCCCAGCGCCAACGTGACGTAGGGCTTGATATCGACGGGCTCGACGGGCTCCGTTAACTGCACCGTCGCGGGCACGGTATCAATCATGTGCGTAAACACGTCGGCGCACGCCGTCCTGAAACCGTTCTTGGTACACCCCAGGTCCCTGATCGTCTTGTTCCCGTCCGACGAGAAGATGTGCTTGTCCGAGTTGAGCGTCTCGTTCCGCCCAACGACCAACGGGTTCGACGTGTTGCCCCGGATATACTCCGTCGCGATCCGGTTATCAAAGTCGTCAAACGTGCTATCGAACTTGGTCACCGTGTCCGGGCTCGGGTCGAGGCCCGTAATGTGCGGGTTATTCCGGCTGTGCACGCCGCCGAGGGTATGCCCACACGCCACGAGCGAAATCATCTCGCTCTGGCTGAATCCGGCCTTTGCAAACGTCGCCAGCGTCGTGTTGAGCGGCGTCTGCGGCTCCGGCACGCCCGCGGGGCCGGCGGTGCTGGCGTCGACACGTCCCGCGCGGAAGGGCATCCTCGCGCCGCCGCAGCCCGCGTTGGCGACGACGACGCTCATGGCGAGCAGGTCGGCAGCGGAGGCGCGGATCGAGTAGAGGTTGCTGAAGAAGTTGAAGGTGTTGTTGAAGGCCGCGCCGCCGTTCTCGGCGCGACCGACCTCGAACCAGATGGAGCCGTCTAGGCCGCCCGTCCCCGCGGCGGCGTCGGTGGTGGCTACGTCGTGGAAGGCGGTGCGGATCCACTCGGCGGCGAACTGGCGGCCGGCGATATTGCCGCCAAAAGAGCAAGGGGTCACGCCTGGAAGTTTTGTGGTGTAAGACAGGGTAGAGTGCTCATGTGGTGGAGGAGGAGGGGGCAAGAAGGGTGCGGCGTAGATCACGAACCTTCGACGAAGCCCCTGCTGCGGTATCCTGTCTGCAATGAGAGGATATCTTCGATCTCATCGTACTTGGAAGGCCAGACGTATGCGGCTCCCACGCCATGCGACAGCGCGGCGATGCCGCTGGTGACGGCAACGACAAGTCCGCCGCCTCTCATTGTCAACGCAGGTCTTCGGGATGTACCTCAAACAAGCGTATGATCAGAGAGAAAGAAAGTCCAATCAAAACGAGGAAAAACGCTGGCAGACACCCCAAGGAAAAAACCCACGTCGCAGGCGCGAAGATTGATGCCGGGTATTGCTTTATAAATCCCCATTATAGCATTGGACCCGGCCCTTTGGACACTTGTTTTGCCCAGGGGTTTTTTTTTTTTATTGACTCCATTACGTGGAAGAGGGTCAATTGGTCTTTTGTTGTTTCCCACTCGGGGAACTTTTTTTTGAGAAAAAGAGCGAGAGCTCCAGTATCGCCAAGACGTCAGGGAAACGGATCTACTTGCATCGGGACCCTGGCCCAATTGAGCATCTCTGCCCGGAACTCGTGGGTTCTTGTTGGCGGCAACGAACCTCTGCAGTGCGAAGTTGCTGCCGCTGCATAGCTGCATAGCTGCAGGTTCGAGAAAAACCCCTCGCAGCTAAAAAGGGTGTGGATAAACGTCAAATAACTATAAACTAGTTCTCTAGACTCGGCCGAGTCGGTCCTAGTTTCCATCATTCATGGGATAGAGGCAATTCTGCCCCAGACCCAGAGGAAGGGTATCCCCTTGACAATCAGGAAACCCGGGCGGGATACGAGTGTGGGAGGTAAGACCCGCGCGGAATGGCCGACAAAGCTGGGTTATCAGATGTTAAAACGGGAAAAAAAAGTTATCTGATCGAACAGGGGGTCGGTCTGTAATATCAAACGTCCCCGCTGCCGTTGTGGGGGGAGAAGAGGACTCGGCGGCGACTCGAGGGATTTGAGAAACCAACCTAAACAGGTGATCCGGCTTAGCTTTATGGCGTGGAATCCTGTCCGGACAATATTCATCCTTCCTTCTTCCTTCGTTGACGGCACAGTGGTTGATGTTAAAGGTAGGTGTTCACTTCTCAACGAGATGATGATGTGAACCTTGCGTTCGAGGAAGAAATGATTCCCATCTCAAATCAGATGTTGTCGAATACCAGATTATCTGTTGTCATTCATGATACGACGCTCCTTTGCCATATTACCCACGCAAGACTCCAACAACTTTCATTAAGTATGTCCCACTCTTCACAGCCCCCCAGGGAAGTGTAGCAACATTGCAATACAAGTAGTATAACACGCCTTCTCTACCTCCTCTTATCAATCAACTTCCCCTCAAACCAGGCTGCAAACTTGACAGCATTGGCATCCAAATACCTTTGCGCAAAGTCAGCCACGCACACCACGCCAGGCATAAAGAAACACGTCGCCAGCAGCACCCCAAACGTAAACTGTCCGCTCGTCTCCGCCCCCGTCAGCCCCGTGAAGAAGCGCACGAGGTGCCACCCGTACAGCCACAGCAGCGAGCCGTGAACGAGGTACAGCGCGTAAGAGATGCGGCCAAAGTACTGAATCAACCGGTTCATGAAGAGCGGCTGCAGGAACGGGGACCGGTCGACCGACAAGACGAGCCAGGCGGACGCGAGCGGGATCCAGAGGTACTCGCCCTCGCTGTAGCGCTCTGGCGTGATGGCGGCGAGCGTTTTGTAGCCCGGCGAGAGACCTGCCGTGCCGGTGCCCTTTGGGTACGAGAGGAGCCAGAGCGCGCCGAGGAAGGAGATGGTGCCGAAGACCTTTTTGGATACGCTGTAGGTTGGTGACGATGTGAGGGAGAAGCTCAGCCGGGCGAAGCGGCCCTGTGGTCCCGGGGTTGCTGCTGCTGCCACGTACGGCAGGGTGTTGTTCCCCATGGCGGGCTGCCAGTAGAAATGCAGGTTGGCGCAGAGGAGCCCGGCGAGGAAGAGGAAGTACTGCCAGTAGTTGAAGTAGAGTGTGTACGCCACGAGGAAGAGGTTCATGCCGAGCCTAACCCGGGTGCGTAACCTCGAAAAGGCGACATGGGCGAGGAAGATGACCAGAGAACAGTCAAACTCGATCGGAATCGTCCATAATGTAGGTTCATACGGATATCCCTCGCCCCTACGCAGGTTCCTCCCAAACGGATCCGACAACCCGATGAGGTTCATCGCCCAGTCCCACAGCTGGTCGTATGCGCGATCGAACCGCGGAGGCCGCAGCGCCGGCACGGCCACGCCCGACGTCGGGATCTCGAACCAGCCAAAATACGAAATCCACGCAATCACAAACGTCGTCATCGCGGGCGGAAGAAACAGGCGAATGTGCCGCCTAAAGGCCGACGAGGCGGCGGCGGTGGCGAACTCGGCCGTCTTGTGCTGGCCGAGGAGCTTCAGGGGCTTGTAGCTCAGCGCGAACCCGGAGATGACGAAGAAGACGCAGACGGACCAGAAGCCGGAGATGACGAGGCGGATGATGGGCAGCTGGATGAACATGGGGTCGTCGTCGCTCATGAAGCCGCGGTGGATGTTCATGTTGGCCGTGACAAGGGACCAGTGGTGGCAGACGACGAAGAAGGCGGCTACACCGCGGAGACCGTCTGTGGTTTCGGAGGGTCTTGTCAGCATTTGTACTTTGAGACTGGAAGACGATTTGAAGCAGAACTTACCGAGCCATGCTGTGGGATGAAGCGGCTTCTGGACGGCGTTGGGATCCGAGGTCTTGAGGAAGCTTGGTATCAGAGCACGGAAGACGTTTCTGGGGTATCGTAGCCACACAGGCAGCCGCCGGGCTCGAGGATGTGTCCGAGGAACAACGACACCAAAGTCGTCGTCGTGATCCACCAGGGGGATCTCTTCCTCTGCTTCGTAGGCTTCCTTGCTCGGGGTGTCGAGGTCCAATGGGTCGATCCCCTCACCGTCGTATGAGTTTGGCAAGTGCCTCAAGTGACACTCAGCCTGTGATGCCATGGCGTCAGTCCCAATATTTCCAGGCATGGCTTAAGTCGTCCACAGTCCTGCCAAGAATGTGAAGCTTCCGCAGGATGGTTCTCCTCTTGGATCGACAGGAGAAGAGAGAGAAAGGAGAGGGGAGAGGGGAGCGGAAAACGGATACCAGTATGCCGCACAAGCATGAGCGGGCCGACACCATGTATTAAACCATACCGAAAGGCCGGTGATTCATCGTGCCCGCCATCTTTGCCCGTTCCCAAGCCTTCAACGTTGTTTTCTGGATATCCGATCTGAAAACGATCAGCCGGGCAAGGCTAGCGGGTTTCGCCAAGATCGTCGCCGTCTAGGGCGAATCCGACGTCAATGAGGTCGTTCGTGAGGACGCATTGCGGATAGGATCGAAAGCCACGGCGTGGGAGTGAGACAATTCGGCCAAGAACTCGCTCCTCGTGCCGGGAATTATGTGCAGGCGTCTCGGATATTGGCTTGGCTTTGGTGTCACCCGAGAGGCGGCGTAAGCTCCGTTTGCATCTATTCTGATGTATGTCGTCAACATGGAATGGCGCTGCTGACGACTACCTGTGCTTGAGGAGAAAACATACATCAGCGTACCTCCTTCGTCCAATGTTGATTTATTTCGTCGTGCACGGCTTGGACCTCGACGAACACAAGCATTCCACGTCCCCTTGCTCCCCGTCGCATCCATTGCCTCACGTTACACAAAACCAACTCTTTGGGATGGTAATTGATCAAAAGCGTTCATGACAATGGTCTGAGAATGCAAAAAATGATAACTGTGAGATTCGAACTCACGCCTCTTGCGAGACCAGAATACTCATCCGTTGGACGGATGAAGCTTAGTAAGCTTGAGTCTGGCGCCTTAGACCGCTCGGCCAAGTTACCTTGTTGAACTTTTCGCAGAGTTAGCGTCTAATCAAGGACACGCAAAGTCTCCACCCCGCTTTCGCCGATGCTGCCCGCCTCGACGTCAATTTTAGACAGACCCGACTTACAAACGTAACATCCATAATCTCTTGCCGAAGTTCACGCTGATTATGTCTTATGTTGTTTGTCAATTCGCCTTGATTCGCACGCTAGAAGCTGGTAGACGAATGACGCATTCGAATTGAAGATTTATGAAAAGGGTGTTTGCGTTGCAGTCCGACCCTCCGTCAGGTCTTCGTATCACGTCTGCTTCCTCCATGTTGGGGAATGCCACCGCGGCGAACTGTCTCTCCACTCGGTTGTACTTACGATATTTTCTGACCTTGGCACGCGCTCCGAAAAAGGAGATTGTCCCTCAGTGTGATTGCCCTTCGGTAGTGTATTCCATGGGGAATCATATGAAAGAACCAAGAGACTAACTTAGGAGACTGCCACCCAATCGTATCTCTCATCCTTGCGCAACGTCTCCGATGGCCCATCCCTTCCATAAGCTCGATCTCAATTCTGAGACTTCATTCATCATGTCCCCGACTATAGAGTGAATATTAAACTCATTGAGAAATAGAGATAGGGGCCTCGGTACTGCAAATGCCAACCCCCCGCCCCCGAAGAGCGCCGAAGAGAATGTCATGAAGAGATAGTCACAGAAGCAGTAATATACCCCGCGTTCCTTGCCAATTGAACCTTTTGTCTATTCCCTTCATAGAAAGCCACCACTTGTTTTTACTTCCAAAACCCAAGAGCGAGAACTTTCTCTCCATCAACTCCCCAAATCGACCTGGCTTTAACATACGCCGTTGCCTGCCCCTTTTCTCCTCCAGAAGACCCGGCCGGAGCCGCAGCAACAACCACACACTTTGGCACATTGAGATACATCAAATATGGTTGATCTCCTCCTTCACCAGCATCTCCAACAGACTCCCGGTACGCCCTCCTCATCCACGCCTCCACCTCGTCAAAGGACTTCGACGCACGTGTAGCAGGACCACTAACAGCAAGCCACGCGATGGTAGAATGCACCAACGTCCCCGACACAACAACGTGGCAAACACGTCTGTAGAAAGGAACATCAGCCGAAGGTGCCAGATCAGCGGACCGGTACTCGACAGACGACGAGGGCACCTTTGCAAGGCCAAGGTGAGCATGCCACTCGACGCCGGCCTGGCGGGGCAGCTCCTCGACCTCGACGGAGAAGAAGGGCGGAACGGGACCCTCGGCCTCTCCGTCGTCCCCGCCTCCGTCGGCCGTCACAACAGCCGACCAATCCGGGAGTTTTTGCGCCGCCGCCGCGTCCTCGCCGAGAGACATGTACGCCGGGTTAAACTTGCGATCCCACAAGTCGGGCCCGCCGGCCCCATCGCCATCTCCGTCCTCGTCCTCATCGTGCTTGTGAACGGCCTTCCACGCGGCCGCGGCAAGTTGACCTTGCCGTCTCATGTCTGCCTCCTCTGGCGTACGCGGGAAGTATGCCACCGCGCTGGTCCAGAGCTGCACCTTCATCTCGGTGGCAATGCGCCAGAGGTGCTGCAGAGAAAGAGTGATTTGCATCTCCAGGTTGCCCTCCTTTTCCGTGGGTAAGATCATGCTCGCCGGGACGAGCGGGATTTGGCCCGCAATCGTCACTGCTCTGATATCGGCGTGTGTCGTATCTTGACGGCCGCCTCTCAGGGGTACATCGATTGCCTGGCTGTAGGGGCCGATGTTGGCTGGCGCCCAGTACGATCTCGACTGCACATGGAGTCCATTCCGTTCACGAGGCTCCAACACAGGTTTTATCGTCAGATGGACATTGATGGCACTTCCGGTCTGTAGTTCGCCACAAGAAATCGTTACTCTGGATGGAGGATTAGGGTGCTGGAAGAGTTTACTGTAGATCTTGTTGATGGCTGGGAAATCCGACATGGACTGCAAGACGATGATGGTATTGGTAATGGCCGTAGTCGGCAGCGGCGGAGTGTGGCCAGCAAGAAGCTTCTGAATCTGCTGTACTATGTCCTCGGTCTGCTGCTCGACAGACGAGTCCTGGCCCGATACCGCCTGAGCAGCGGAGGACCAGTGAATATCGTCCGAAGGAGTTCTCGGTAGCACCGGTGTTTTGCCATCACTTTGCGTGAAGCCGTCGACGGATGATGATGAGTCCGGTATTGGCACCTGACCATCCCGAGCCGCGGGCAATGACTCTAGGATAGACTGAAACCGAGGATCCAAGGCATCGGGAACCCGGGGCGGGGAGCAGCTTTCTCCCGTGGCCGCGTCTGGGGCTCGCTTTTCTCGGACACTCGCCCCCTGAAAGCTCAACCACGACGTCCCGCCGCCCTCCCTCACGGTCCGCCTGCCGGACTCCGGCACCTCGATGGCCTTTTTGAACAGCCCAGGCGGGCCGTCCAAGACGAGCGTCTCGAACTCGCCCCCCTCTCCAATGACGGCACCCTCGGCGGCGCCAAAACGTCGGAGGGCACGCTTTACGCGCGACGCGCCAGCGATACTGCTCACCTTCTCCCACAAGAAATCGTCATCAAGCCCCGCGCTCGCGACCTTGATGATCCTCGCGTCGAGACCGGCGGCCGCCATGTCGTGGAGCAGTTGGGCGTCCTCGACGGCGCCCGGAACCACCGGGGGCAGCACGGGATACTTCCACAAGTACGCCAGCGGCGTGAGGCCCAGGCGTAGCGCGACGGATTCCACGCGCGTCCGCTGGTACGTGGACAAGATGGCTCCCGCACAGAGAGCGTTGGCCTCCGGGTGGTTCGCCATGACAGTACGGAGGAGGGGCACCATGCTTTCCGTCTCATCCGCGTCACCGTCACCGTCACCGTCAGCACCACTCGACGGCACGGCATGGGAGTCGTAGTCTCTGCCCTCGTACTTGGCGCCGCCGTAGATGGGCTGGCGGTAGAGCGGCAAGCCGGTGGCGTCCGCGTATAAGGGTATGACCTGGTGGCCGACGGTCTGGTACATGAAACTATTCAGGTCGGCTTCATCATCGGCCCCTTTACCAGCCTCCTCCTCCTCCACGGGCTTCTCTTCCTTTCCTGTAGACTGATCTGACAGCTGCACATCCTTGACGTGATCCCTCGTGGGCTTGTAAATGACTGTTGCTGGGGCCGAGCGCGTGGCGTCGGAGCCGGCGCTGACGGAGGCGGAGGGGAAGAGATTAGCGAGTGCCACGAGTCGGTGCCCGTTCCTCTGGCAATGCAGGGCGGAGAAGAAACTGTCCTTGCCGCCCGAGACCAGGGCGATGACATTGAGCTGTTCGGATGACATGGCAGGCAGGCAGACTTCAGCCTGGCGTCCGACGTTATGCAGGCGGACGGTAGGACTGAGGGACTCGGGCGCGTACGTCTGTCCGTGTGTCTCTACGGATATGTGATGCCTTGTGCCCCGCGATCTGTGCTGTGCAGTGTGCAATTTCTGTGCAGGCCCTCGCGTTGGCGTATGCGTCCGGGCGTAAAGTGTGGAAAAGCCTTTGTGCACAGAGTCAATGGTCCGAGATTGATGGGCCTGTCTGGGTCTTTGCGCACCACGGAGGTATGACGGGATGGGGACTGACAGATTCGTCTAGACCTCAAGGGGACCCTTGAATGATTTGGAGCTCCGTCTTCGGGACGTCGCGGCGTCGCGAGGCCGGGACTACGGATAGCGGTTGATAAGTGTTGAAGTGGTTTGAGCCTCTGATGTGGTACAAGACGGAGACTGTGAGGAACCCGGTACGTTTGGATTTCTGATATGGAGGAGAAGGAGGGGAACGTTAAAAAAAAAAAAAAAAAAAAAAAAAAAAAAAAGACGGGCCCACTGATTGTAGGTTTGATATGGAGCTCAATACGGAAAGCAAGAGAAAACGGTTCAACTTAACGATGGAAAGGTCATGATTAATCTGTACGGATAGTACCTGCATTATTCACAACTTCACAGCGATTGCAGCTTATCCGCTGGTAGAATGCTCCCATTCTACGTGAGGAATGGAAGTCGCAATTCCTTCTATTGCATGGGTTGATGATGTGGGTAGTGGTCAACCGTTAAGATGCTCCCCGGCTCTCATCGAATCATTCCCTGGTAACGGTATCCGTACGCATAAGATACCTTACAGAAGGCAAGACAAGCTTGACAAGGTGAAGTGAGGTGAGGTACTCCGTACCCGCCAAAACGGCACGGCAGCTGGATGCAATAGAAGCTATGGAGACCCTGGCCTCCAAGTCGTTCCTTGCAGCGATTTCCCTCCATCGAGATCCGACTGGCCGGCCTCGACTCCTTCTTTGTCCATCAGTGGATGCTGTCCCGGGGGCCCTTGGGAGGAAGGGGAGGGGAACATATGGTACAGTACCACATTACAAACATGACTGTTGGATGATAGAAAGCCGTTACGACGACTGACTGGAGAGTATCCATTCTCATACCCTTCGCTAGCCCTCGGCTGTCTCTGGTCTGGGTTACGTTCGGCTCATGGGGGGTTGGGTACATAGTAAAAAAAGGTGGTAATTTGATATTCGTTAGTCGGGGGCCCCGGTCAGTTCCGCGCCGCTGGGGACTCGGGACTGGTGGACAACGGGTGGGGTCCTTTTCGGGGGTAGCCTGGAAGGAAATTCCAAAACCTGGCCGCCCTCCCGGGGGCCCGGCCGTCTCGAACGCCTCGGTTCCCAGGATGAGGGAATCCCCTTCAGCTTGAGTTGCCAAACTCCGCCGGTCCCGTTAGTGTTAGGGGACCTGGTTCTGGCCTTTGATTCCTTGAAGCCTTGGAGAGGGGGCTTTGGGGTCGCGGGCGGCGACGGGCCTTGTAGATTAGCGGGACTGCCGTTGTATGCCTGTGTCTGAGGTATCCCCCCTTCGACCTCTCTCTCTCTCTCCATCCGTGGAGTCTCATTCTCCTCTCAGGCTCACACCCAGTCTCTAGTCTCCCGAGTTCCCCCTCCACCTCGTGCGAGTCGAGAGGTCCCTCTGAAGATAACCCTCGCTCGGGCGGGCCGCCCCAAGATTACGCTGGAGTTGTCGCTGGAGTTCGCTTCATGCCTCATGGGCTGATACCCTCCAAGGCCCCTCCAGTCAACCTTACACCGCCAGCCCCCTCGTCCATGAACTTCCATGTGGACTTCTAGAAAAGCTCGACTCGCGTGCGAACTCGCTTAAGGCCAGGAGAGAAAAAGGTGTGTGTGAGAGAGAGAGAGAGGGGGGGGGGGGGAAAGAGGCAATGGGACGGGTTTGCAGGTTTCAATGGAACATGTACATCGAAACTGGGGCTGCCGGCACAACGACGTTGGATTACCCAGAATGCCCGCCTTGTCCCTAGGGCAGCATGACTATCAAAGTTGCTTGCGCCAAAGAGTTCCAGCCCTTGGATGATGGCGATGGGCCAGCTCTCATTTCGTTGAGGTATCATCCACCACGGGAAACTGTCAAAGATGAGTTAGGACTTTCGTTATGAAGTTACCTGTCCTGGCTGTCCACGTCTAATCCCACCAAAAGCTCGTGATCATCATCACCATCATGTCCATCCTCAGGCCCGCTACTTTCTATCATCATCACATCAGCAAACTGATGCGAATAGTACAACTAATAGCCCAAGAGTACGGTTCAAGCACCATCCCCCATCAAGTAAAACCTACCCGTCAAACTCTCGTGGCAAGAGAAGAAATAATTGTCCGAGACGCGACGACTATCCTCATGGACCCTGTTGATCAAGCCCAGTCCATCAATCTCAAGTGCAACTTCTTGCAAGCCTGAACACACCCACTTGCCCCCGCCAGTCCATCAGCGAAACCTGGCAGAGCTTGAAAGCCTGGACCAGCGCAATATGGATCTTGAGCGGTATCAGAATTTTCACTCATTATCTCGCCATACGCAGTAGTCAATGATGGGAATGAGATGAGGAGACGAGCCCATCTAGGATTGTTCGAGCTCAGACCCCATCCTCCATGAAGCGGTGAGAGGAAACAATCACCCAGTCGTGCCAGTCTACGACTCTCGTCACATCTCGTCCCAGACTACACCGTCGCTTTGCCATCTTTTTTAATTTACTGTTCCATCGCACGGGGGGGACCAGTAAGATGAACAAGAGCCAATAGTCACCACCAACACGGATTTGCTATTTCACATCCGTGCCCCCATCCCATGTAAATGTGAAGTTTGCTCGAACTGCTCCGTGCACCTTGCGAGAGCCAAGGCAACCTAGTAAGAAGATCCAATATCGAATTTCGTCGATTCGAACCACAGACAGGGCCTGAAGGATGCAGCGCTTGCTGCGTGGTGTGAGGAATAAACGGAGCTAGTGGGTGGCTTGGCTACAGTCTGCGGCAAAGCGCAAGATTAACTTTCTGCTCTTCCCGCATCGTTTAGTCAGGTACACGAGCCACGTTGCATGGCCCCCAAAGACTCGATATTGGTACCAAAAAAAGTCAACTGAACCAACAGGTCCAATAGTGAACTTTACACTTTCCAACGAGCCGGGCACCCGGGCAGGCATGCAGGCAAGCAAAGCAGGTACGGATTACGGATAAGGCATCCGTAGATAAGCTGGCTCAGCCGGGGGAAAAGCTTGTAGTCAATGGTTGTATTTGATCAATTGTGTGACGGTGGTGGTGGTTCGTCCAGGATTTGAGTCGATGTTGGGCAAGCAATATCCGCATCGAACCAAAAAAAAACCGAACGAAAAGTCCAATAGCAATATCCCACTCCCGCCGCCTGGCCCCCAACCTCTCGTATCGGTACAGGCCAGCATGACAGACGTCTTTGGCAGCTCATTACTGTGTAGAGTATACGACCATGCAATGCATCGTTGCTGACAGAACAGGCTGACGTACGTCTCCTACGACTCGTGCCTCTCCTACACAGTAGTCAGTAACACGGTGAAATCAATTTGTTCAACCACCGATAGCTTTGTCTTGGTGCCGTCCCATCGAACCAGAATAAACAAGAAGCTTCAACCCTCCTCCCGCCGGATAGAACTGCCTTGGTTCTGAAGAAAGATCAACCCACCTTACGGTCCGACACCACATCACATCACCCCGCCATGCAAAAAGAAGAAAGCAAACCCCGAATGTGACAGAACTATAGAACTAGAGTAAAACTTCGTAATCCGAAATATATTTGCCGTCAATGGTACGATTGCGGTGAGGCATGCCGTGTGTACTCGGTTAGGTGTTTTCTTACTCACCTACCTCGGTACTTGCACCCGTAATGTGACTTCTTCATCACGTCCATCATGGCCTTCAGGAACCTGACTAGGGAAACGAAATCCGGACGGTCTTACCGAACCCGCCGGGAATCGCCCACGTCAAATGTCACCCAAGGAAAAAAAGGTGCACGACTTGGACTGCCTTGGTGAGAGAGAGAGAGAACTTGGCGAAGAGAATAAAAATAAAAAGTGGACAAAAAGTGAGACCGTTACAGCCGGACCTCAGTCCGCGACCGAAAATGGGGAATGGGCCCTGTCGAACAAACAAGGACGCGACCTACCTACCAGTCAGTCCCGCGGCAGGCTGACAAGTGTGATGACTCAAAACCCACGCACGCCTTACTCACAAGTCACTGCCAGAGCCGAGGCGTGCTGGGCGGGTTCCCAAGTTCCCAAGTCCCCCCCCCCCAAAAAAATGGTGAGACCAACACCCGTGACTCCAACAAAGAAAAGAAGAAACCACAAACGTCACTTCAAATGCCGTCCGCCGTTGAAGGGGGCGGCGCACTGGAATCGTTTCGGGTACCTAGTGCCACACTGCCAGGTGGACTCTTCTTTTTCTCCATCAGTCAAAAGAGGCTGCGGCGCTAAGGCAGGTGTGTAAGTCGGGCACGGCGGGGGGGTGTTGTGTTAGCTACTATAGTAAGCTGAGTTACATCCCGCTGGCGAGACAAGACAATGCCTAAGAAAAGACTTGCACGTCTGCAGGAAGAAAAGAATGGGAATCGGGAAAAGACCTCAGAGATTCAGAAAAAGAAACAATAAAACATCCGATTGGCGAATACAACGCATGACGACGGCATCCTTTCTGGGCTGGAACACCGGTTGATGTCTTGTCTTAGAATGGAAAAAGTCGAACCCATGTCGAAGGAATGTAAAAGTCAAGCCCCCATCGATCGATGAACTAAAACATTGTTCAACCCCGAGTCAGATCACACACGCGGGAAGCGAAAGGCACTTAGGGAGGCATTGATCTCAAGATGCGGGCTAGGTGGGAAAAAGTTTTTGGCAGCGCGTAAAAGTGTTCTCTTTTTTTTGTGGTGTGTTCAGAAATGTGTGTGTACAGGTTTACTACAAAGTTGTTTTTGCGGCGAAAAGA